AATTGTAATTCAGCTTTTGTTAATGGATTGTGTTAATAAAGTGTGATCCTGTAACAAAAATAGTTTTTTTTCCCCATGCTGCACTTAAAGTAACACAACTTTAACAGGAGCCACTACAGACTCAAAATACTGAGAAAATGAATCAGACAGAATAAATAGAAAAAATTACTACATTCCATGTTATTAGTTCCCCCCCTAAACTACCCACCCAAAAAACCAACCAACACTAAAACTCCTGCCATGTCATTGATACTGTGCAGAATAGAGACTCAAATATTTAAATGAATAAGGAAAGTTACGGCTTAGCCTCTGAAAACAAAGCCAACGGAAAGATGCTTTGTCCTGGAGAGCCTTGGATGACACTAGCTGAGCCTGCCATAAAGGTCTCCCTCCACTGCTCAAAAACTAAGCCATCTTGCTGTATTTAGCACTTTTTTCTAGACCACCCACTCAGACTCAGATACACAAACCACATGTGCCAGGAATGTCTGCCTTGCTCTGAAATCAATATCACCATTACGACCTTATTACTTGCACAGCCAGACTTTTAGTACAACACATTTGTTTTATCTTTTCAATACCTTTCATTTCTTGTCTTACTTGTGTGTATTCCCTTTGCTAATCTTTAGAAACTTTTGGAAATTGTTTAAGGGGAGAAATTGTGGGGAAAATATGTTTTTAGTACACCTTTCTTTCCCCTTTGGTGGAGATTAGCTTTACTTCTAGGTCTTAATAGAAACATGTAACTGACAATTTAACAAGCCTACAATTTCCTGAACTGGACACAGACCTTGAATTCTGTTTGCATCCAGCAGTAATGATGAAAGATAATCATTTATGCCATATTCTTATAAGAGATGAGGGCAAAGTATATTAATGGAAGGACCAGCTTTACAGCACAGGTTGGGTGATGGAACATAGGAAAATGCATGACCCATTTGAAGTGACATCAAAGAGTGGGAGATTTCCAGCTAGAACTATCCCCATCATGATGAAAATGCATCTCCTGTTGCATTCACAGATGAACATTTCGCTTTGCTCAGTCTTCATGCTGAAAAAAAAAATCCAAGGTATTGCTTTATGGCAGAACGAATCAGCCTGATGTAGAAAGAGCAAATAGATTAGATATAATACTCACCATGAATATTAATCAGATATCAGTGTCTCAAATCCATTTCACGATAACTCAGATGTTTGTACCCTACTACAATCCACTTAACCCTCAGATCCTTGGGGTCAACAACAACCCAGTTATGCGAATACTACACTGAAGAGCCTCCACCCTGAATATTGTGTCCTGCTATCTTAAACAAGATCTAAGTGCTGATCAGCAAACAGTATTCTCTCCATTAATGCAAGGAATTATATTCAGCCATCTAATGTTTTTTTTTTTTAATCAAAACTGAAAGGGTATTGTTCTCATTGTGGTAATATTTCTCCTTCCTGTCTAGTCACTCTGGCACTTCTTGCTGCTCAAGTAAATGCAGGGCCCTTGCATAATTGTGCTTTGATGTAAATTTGTCTGCTCTCTCACTCACAGGGCCAGCCTTGTAAACTTACTTGTTCTAACTGCACTAATGCACTGGTTAAGTCATATGCACACACAAAAACGCTTCAGAAATAGGAGTTGTAGTCCCATCATCCACTAGAATTTCTTAATCCTTTCATGCCCAAGAGTAAATTTTCCAGGTACACTATCCAGCACTGGGAAATGGGCACCCATGAACAGTCTGTGCTAAGGAATTATTGTTAAAACAGAGTAAGAACCTTCATGAAATACAATATATACTGTTTAACAATTAGGGAAACTGTTGAGGTTCAGAAAAACATCTGTCTTGTACTTGTGAATCTTTAGGATAAGTTTTACATTATTTATTTTTATAGTGCCTGGTAGCTCCTGCCATGGTTAAGGGCCTGTCAGCATTTCCATCATAAGCCTCTATTTCAGTTTATTGTAGTAGGAGTGCCAAAATACATATTTACACTTTAGACAGCAGCACCTTTGTCTTTCTGATTTAAAATCCACTCTCTCAGTGTCCCCTAACTACAGACTGGATGGAGCAGTCACAAGTGACTGAGTAAATACCATGATTTTAAGTGGAGTCTAAGTCGACTCCAGTTTAGCATCAAGCCGTGGAAGTCAATGGACCAATACGCACACACAAAAATACAGATTGAAATACGAGCCTGCTGAAAGATACGGTACACACAATTAAAATGCAAGCAAGTGAGGGAAGATAGAAAAGTAATCCAGATGGAACAAAGAAATATAACATGAAAGCAAATCAAACATTCTACTCCAGACACTGCTTGGATGAGATAATGCACATGACAACAAAAAACGACAAGTTTCTCTATAGACCTCTAACTACTTTCCCATCAGCTCTGCAAGCTCCAAGTAACAGGGTTTGAAATTTATGAGGTATTTCAAGAGGTCTGAACACTAATGTAGCTTCTAAGAAATCCAGATAATAATTACACTTTTCACTGACCTGAAACAGCCTGTCACATACTTAATTTCATTATGAAAACTAAAATCTGTCCTAAGTATCTTTTCTCTTATGAAGTCTTAATAAAATATTATGTTGGATCTCTCCAACCACAAGTACTACGTTTGCCTTACTTTTGAATTTATAAAGATAGATTTTACCTAAATTAATAACCACAGATGGAAATAACTAAACCACCTCTTACACTTCAAAGACTGTTACCGATACAGCACAAATTTAGTTATTTCATGCTTTACCTTTGATTCTCAAATTCTCAATTAATTTTACTTATTTTTTACCACGACTTGTGGCACCAAATACAGGTCTATTTTTTAAGAAGTTTCCTCTTGTGTTAAGGTGGATTAAGACACCTTTATAATTTAGGGGAAGTTGAAGTTTTCAAGGGACCCAAACTTCTATTAAAATGTTAAAATCTTATCCCACTTGGATATCCAACTGCTGAGGTGAACGTTTAGTTAGTTTCAAGAATAAAGTTTCAGAGGGGTAGATGTGTTAGTCTGTATCCCCCAAAACAACGAGGAGTTTGGTGGCACCTTATAGACAAACATTTATTTGGGCATTTGCCATGCTTCCCTGCATCTGAAGAAGTGGGTTTTTTACCCATGAAAGCTTATGCCCAAATAAATCTTTAAGAATAAAGTTGTGCTTTCCATGATATACAATGGTTTCTCTCTAATAACAAGTGTTCAACTAGTGCTGCAAAAGAGGGTTTTAAAATATTGCTTACTGCTAACCTCTATCTGGTCAACTTAATCCATTATTCAAATTCATTCAGTTAAATTTTTTTTAATAGGTCGGCACTAAATGAAATCCCAAACCTTTTATTCTCTTGCACTTAAAAGCTAATGTAGCGGTTGTAAGGTAGAGTGTATGTGAAAACTGGTCCCAAAGATCAATGCTCATAAACGTGGTCGATTTAGGTAGGGTTATTATGATTTTTCTTTTAAGAGAAATATGACTATTTGAAATTAATTGAAAAAGGATTTATTTTGTTTCTGCATACAAAATTGGATGAAAATAGCTAATGTAAAACTTTGTTTTTTTTTAAAGAGATCAATGCTTAGTGACTCTTATTCTATCAGAATTTTGTGGAAAACTCACTTTACAGTTAACACACACAAAATGCAGCTGCAGTCTGTTTATTTCCCAATCTTATCAAAGGAGAGCACTAATATTTTATTTAAGGATGATCAAGGATTTATATGAAATTCAGAGGTAAAGTTATATTGTTATTGCAATAGTCTCCCTTTTATATGGGCTTCCCTACCCTTCCTCATCCATTCATATGTACAATAGAAGTTGGCTAGTATTTTTATGGGTAACATGACTTATTTCACCAGTTATTTAAAACAGCAGGATATTCAATTCACGCTAGAAGAAATCTTGGGTTCCCTTCCCCTCCTGAAGCTCAAGAGTTTTTACCACAAAATTTAGTTAGAAAAGTCAAAATGGACCAGACTCCACATGTATCGGATTTAACTAAAAGGTAGTAAGTTGAATGTGCACTATTAGTTCAAAGACTTTTTTAGAGATTGCTTTTAGAGTTCAAAACATTTTCATATAAAATGTTGACAAAAATTAACCACCCCTCCCCCAACATGCCTCCCCCACCCTCCCATCATCATCCTCCCAATGTCAAAATGATTTTTAAAGACGTTTTCCCCAACAATTGCACATTGAGACGTGGACTTAACAACATAACGCTTCAAGTATGTTTCATGCCAATCGTCAATAAGAGTCATAACATTACTGAAAAAAGTACACTTGTTCTTTTGGAAGCCTGAAAGAGACCTTCCATGGGAGTATGGTTAAACAACATTTTAAATTTAAAAAACTGAAAAAACCCCAAAATAAAATATACGACTTTCTTTGGACTTAAAGAAACAGTGTTAATAATTCCCATTTGAATATGAAGAAATAACCCCAGCAGGAATCTAGTTTCACTGTACTGCACAAAACCATGTACATGAAACAATAAAACATACAGATACTACCGTTGTTCAACTGTGTATGAATATACTACATCTGGCATATAAGCATACATGGGAAATATACTGGCCTCTCTGCAAACACGTTTTCTTAAGGCTGAACAAACCTTCGGATCCAGAAGTATTTCTTAATTGCATTCTCTTTTCATCAGGGTCAAGAGTTTAATTTCCCATAAAGAGGTGACTGTTTCATAATTAAATCACCATAATGAGATCACAGATCATTGATTTTAAACTATTTGTAAATTCTCTGGATTGCACAGGTATGTGAAATAGTCCTCATTTTAAGGAAGTGTACATGGAAGAACATTTGTTTTCACAGACAAGAAATCCTTCTGGAAACGCAAGCAGATTATTCAACAGGTACTGAAATTTGGAACCTATAACCACACATTTTATTTATATATATATATATATATATATATACACATACACACACACACACATATATATATATATATATATATATATATTCCAACATGTCACTGTATAACGACGAAGATATTTTTTCAAAGAAAGGATTTTAATTTATCAGATGTAAAAAAAAAGTGTAAGCAGACCATGTACTATATGAACAAACAAAAATACTATGCCAACAGTTTTTATGGTAAAGGTATGTCACATACTGGCAGCAGAAGAGTATTGAAACTCGCAGTAATAAATAGCTCCAAATTAAGAATTTTCTACAACATTTCCTTAGAAAACAGGACCAGTATTCTTCCTTTTATGGTGATCCTGTAGAACACCTTCACTTTTATATATATCTAATATTATAACATTAAAACAGACACAAGAATGTTGATGACAAACAATGCTGGATTCAGAACAGTACACAGTAACACTTTTTTGTTACAAGTTCTACTGGTTTATTGACTAAGGCTAGACAGCAAGTCACAGGATCCTATTTGGTGCATTTTTTACCATGGTCTAAGATCAATAAATGGATAGAACCAAGGACCTGTGGTCCAACCCACTGTGGCAGACTGGAGACAAATATTAGGGCCACTTTTTGGTCCCCCACTTCGTACCTTGTTTCCTGGAACTGCAGAAGTGGAAACAAGACTATAGTGTTTTAAGTGACTAGAGAAAGTCAGCAATAAGTGGCATTTTAACATGAGTAAGGTTACTAGGCTTGTGATGGTGCTGCATCAAAGGAGCATACAGGGAAACCGAGTACTTGTAACATCTGGTAGTGTCATTCCCTCAATGACTTTAGAATATATGTATGCAATAATAAATAGATCAGTTATGTAATAAGGCAGTGTGTTGAACATGCATTCGTCTTGTGGACTGGAACACCACAGAGAGATACATGATACCATACACATTCATTAAGAACAAGTTTTTTTGTGTTTTTTTGTGTGGTTTTTTTTCAAGGCTATCCAGGCTAACTCTTCCAGAACATTTCCTTGGTGAGAAGAGCGATCCTCTGAGTCTTGTCACTTTTCCTCTCCTTTATCAAGAGATGATGACTGGCTTTAAAGAAAAATAAAGCTGAAGAGGGTTGGTTTATTTTTTTCCATTTTGGTTGCATCACTTTAAATGTTTTATTTAAAAAACAGTTTTTGATGCAGCCAGATGCTGTATCCTCAGGATGTTCCAGATGTTTCCAGGTAACTCTGTAGTTTACGGACTGTGGTTTTGTCCAGTGAGCAAAGGTCAAAGTCAAAGGTTGTGTTTGTGATATGAAAGTGTCCAGTTTCTTCTATAAGGTTTACGATCTGGGAGGAGAAAGAGAAAAAGAATATTTAGGTGAAAATCCCATCCTTTTCATATTTTTAGGATGTACTGCACAATTGAATGCTCCTACTAAAGTATTACTGTGTAATGAATATGAACAAGTCCACAAGACCACAATTCCAAAATAACAAATGGAACAAAATCAGAACCTTTTATGTTAAATTCCCCTTCCATCCCTCCCCTGAAGTTCTAATAGCTTTGACAAAACAGAATCTTAATTCAAACTACACCTGTTTGTTCCCCCAGAACATAACAAATAAGGGTATCCAAAACTAAGGCCAAACGCCAGCTAACTTCCAGCTGGAATTAACACTTAACAATAATTATTAGCACTGCGAAGAGGTTTTTTTTTTTAAATCTTAAAAGCCTTTCACAAATTGCTAACTAATTATTTTTAAAAGTCTTTGGGAGGCATGGAGCTAAAATTTTTGCCCAGTGCATTTATCTGGCTCATAGCTAGGAATTCTGTTATTACAGGACATGATTGGTATTAAACCTTTTGCAAGTACAAATATTTGTAATATGTTTACCTTTAAAGAGGAAAACAAGGTCAAAGGATTTTACAAGACAGAAATTGAGTACCACAGGCTAAGACAAAATGGTAAAAGAGAAGGAAAGAGGCACTGTCGTAAGCTACTGCAATAAATATACTTACATTAAAGCTAATTACATATCTGTGTATATTTAAATCGACTAGTAGTAGATTGTAAACTGTTTGGGACAGAGACAGTCTTTTTGTGTGTTTGAACAGCACCTAGCATAATGGAGCCCATGTCCACCTAGGGGCACCTAATAAAAAATAATAACAGATCTGTTTATAAAACGTCTTATGTATGTTTGGTGTCTGTTTTCCCATCCATGGTCTGGTTTACCGGACACTTTGATAATGTTATCAAGCTTGTTATGTAATATTTGGCCTTTGATGACTGTTGGGATCCCGTAAACTCTTGGAGGAGGGGAACAATCCTTACAAAATAGTTACCCCAGTTTAAAACAAAACTTCACAAAAACACAAATTCAGTTACAGTGGAAATCTCAACAGATCTTGCATCAATTGTTAATTCCAGGAATATCCACTACATCTTTTGGATTAACAACTCTGCATCAAGTATGATATATTTTAAAGCAAAACAGGTGTTAAAGTTAAACCACAAACTAATCTAATCTACTCAAGAAGAAAAGGGGAAACTCCTTTAGCTGGTGATGCAACATATTGGTCAGATTACCTAGTGTTCAAACATGTCCAGCCAGAAAAGGGGCGGTGGGCCCCGCCAGGAATGGTGAAGGACATACGTGAGCTAGTTCATTTCACACTAAGGCTACGTCTACACTACACAGCTTTTAGCGACATGGCTGTGTCGTCACAGCTGTGCTGCTAAAAGTCGTGCAGTGTAGCCACTGTTTGTCGGCTCTCCTAGCAAAAAAAAACCTTCTACCCCCAACGAGCGGCGTTTGCGTTGTCGGCAGGAGAGCGCTCCTGCTGACAATGCACTGTTCATAGCGGCACTTGTCGCAACAAAACTTTTGTCTTTCGGGTATGGCGGGGGGAGGGGGGGGTTAACACCTCTGAAAGACAAAGGTTTTGTCATTCAATTGCCAGCATAGACATAGCCTGCATAAAAGATCATTTATATCTGGAAGGAGCAGTTATGCTGAAAGCTGATTTTCTATAAAATTTAACTCTGAATAAATGTATGCTATATGGCGTGTATCTAGACAAACTAGTCACACTTAGGAGAGCAATACCATTATTTGTTAAATGTTGACAGTGAGGAAGGGGCAAGTGATAGCTCATGGAATCAGACTCCACATGCACCTGCTTTCCATTAGGCAGAACCCCAAGGCACCTCTTTCAGCTGGCACACTGAGGGAGATGTGGTACCATGGCAGCTGCAATGCCAGTGAATCTACAATCACATGGATTATCTGGAATAAAGTCACAGAGGGAGCAGAGAGGACCGCTACTTCTCTCCACATTCTTTCCATTTCTATCTGTCTGGGAATTTAGAAATGCTCATTTGTCATGTCCATTCCACATGTTTAGCCAGACCCAAGCTATACACAGCTCATTTAGTTGGGGTAGAGAATTCCTTATCCCAGCCCAAGAATCAAGTTATATGGAGCAAATCCTTGTTGCACAGGATTTGTTCCATTGTTTAGGAGTTAGCCCTTTTTCAACTAGATTGTTTTTCATTCCCTGACTTCAAGCATTACAACCCTAGCTTTTCTGAGTTGGATCTTTTTAAAAGTCAATGCCACTAAGTATAAGAAACTTCTGATTTGTCTAAAGAAACTTCATCTTCCGCTTTAGAGTTAATTCTCACGACTCATTTCCTAAACAGTGAGATGACTGGTAATTAAACTGTGGCTATGGCTTTCCTTGAAAAGAACACACACAATTGTCACGCTTACAGAATGAATTTCTACAGCAGCATTACTGAGGTCTTACAACTCTGTCTTGGCCAACTGGATTGTGCTTGGCAACCCAATAGTGTAATAAATAGTGGTTTATGGATTTTATAGAGAAAAAGCCTTCACACTCAGTTTTAGGATGAGAGGAAGCAGAAAAGGAGCAAACAGAAACATATATTTCATTTTCTGAGGAAGAGGAAAAATAACCCCTTTGTTTAGTATATTGAAAGAAAAAGGTTCAGTTCAAATGTCTATTTCCCCAAGAGTTTCAAATGCACTTGAAACTTCTTGGCACAATATCATTTAACCACTCTGCAAATGCAACTGTCAAATATTACAGATGTGAGGGGATTTTGGAACCTACAGCATGAGCAAAGAGTATATAGGTGAATTTAGCTCCCCGCTTTACAAGACTAATGAACTTAAAATATTTTGAAAAAAAAATGTTGGTACATTTGACACTATAAAAATATTCAAGACGTTGCTTATCTTGAAAATGTGGATATTTGTGTAGAATTTTTTTTATATGGGCAACTGTTAAGGAGATTTCTTTAAATGCTGGATAGATCAAGACTGGAGATATTTATGTAAATTGTTTCTTAGCCTGTAAGCTCTTATGGGCAAGGGACTCTGCTTTTGTATGCATTTGTAAACCATGTAGAACAATGGGGCCATGATCCTGATTAGAAGCTCTGGGTACTGCTGTAACAAACATTTTCTGCACATGCAGTTCTACTTTTGATTTGATGTTGAATTTTACCAATTTAGTATGAGACTTAGGTAAGTTACTCTTTCTGAATTTTAGATTACAGCCCGTTTAAATTTTATTCAGACAAACATCTATCAGTTTCACTAAAACTTTGCATCATACTGTCCACATTACGCTATGCTGTATTAAAATACGTTTCCACACAATTACGATGGGCATATGGCCTAAACAGCTACACTGCAATTGTAAAGCCCTGCAGCCCAAGCCCCTTGAGCCTGAGTCAGCTGATATGGGCCAGCTGCGGGTGTTTCATTGCAGTGTAGGAGAGCTCTTTTATTTAAAACCTGCAAGCTTTCGTGAGGTTAGATAATGGATTCTGACCCATCCCTATATGAAACAATCTGTTGTTATAGGTGCCTTATTTTGTTTTTGAGCACGCTATCTAAATTGTTGTTCCTTTTCCAACAGTAGAAGGAAAACACTCCGATTACAAATGATGGACAGAATATAGATTAGAATGACAAACCTGGTAAAAAATACAATAGTTGTAGTGCAATGTAAATAACTTATTTTAAAAAATAAAGCAGTGACTAGTCCAAAGACAACATTTGTTTAGTTTCTCCTCCCATTTTTATTTTTTCAAGAAATGGTTCTTTCTCCCTGTACCAGAGAGGAAGAGGCTTACAACACTAATGCTAAATGAAATAATGTGGAGTGGGGTTGTGAATTGGAGGATTGGACTGCACCATTTGGAAACAAGGTAAAAGTGAGAGAGAAGAATGCCTCTCAGAATTAAAACTGCTCTTTCTAACTACACAAATTCTTTTTCCCCAGGTGGGGAAAAAGGTTCAGTTTGGATTTAAATTAGACCAGAACTCTGAACACCGAAAATCCAAGTTCAGATACTGCCCCTGGAATTGATTCTGGTTTATCAGCACTTCATTTAAAGCTGTGCCTCTCAGCTTCAGTTTTTTCAGTTTTTTGGGACTTTTAATCTAATACTTTCTACTTCATCTATCCATTTTATCATTAACAACCTACCCACCCACAACCTCTCCCATCTCCTCAGGTCCTACACTGAAATTCAGAGCAAAATTTTAAATGATGAAGCAAAATACTAGATACCAGACAGCAAAAAACTGTGATATGTGGAAACTTCTCTCTTTTAGAGAGTCCTCAGTCCTCTCTTGTGACAGGAACATGGGAAGAAATCCAGCCTCCTTTTGTAAAGTTAGGAATGTAATCCACATCACTAATGCATCGTCTCCAAATACAACAACTAGCTGGTAATCAAGTTTATGTACATTGGGGAAGGTGAGAGGTAACCCTCCTTAGAAGAATTCTGTTTAATATGTTTCCCTGTGATACTGTGTCAGAACAGTACCCTTCGCTAACTTCCATAACAATATACTTGATTTTGAAATATAAAAACACTTAGGAGTGTTAACAGATGCATTTTTAAGAAACACAATACACTTTAAAAATGAGATTAAAAACCTCTTTTATTGAGCAGTATCTACTCCAGGCTTTTTAAGCCCCAGACTAAGTCATATAAACATTTTAACCCTATCCCTCATCCTGGTCTCAAGAAATATATCCACTGTGTCAAGGACACCTGATAAATCAGAGTGAAATGAACCCCAAAAGTTTTAAGGGATGTACAAAAATACATCAGGATAGACCCCGACAGTTCTATGAAAAGCTTCTAAAATTTTGGAGTTCTTGAGTGCCTGCCAACGAGAGTAGTGTTCATGACTTATAATATTAGCACACACATCCTTATACTATTCAAAAATACTAGAAAAAGAATAAAGGTTTAGATTAGTTGCCAGGAAGCCTGACAGTTATAATGTTAGAAAC